GTCACACAAATAGATATATGCACACCCATGTTCATTGCAGCACCATTCACAATAGCAAAAAGATGGAAACAACCTAGATGCCCATCAGTGGACGAATGGATAAACAAATTCTGGTATATCCACACAATGGAATACTATGCAACGATAAAGAACAACGATGAAGCTGTGAAACATCTTATAACTTGGGGAATCTGGAGGGCATTATGCTGAGTGAATTTAGTCAGTCACAGAAGGACAAATATTGTAGAAGACCGCTATTATAAGAACTCAAGAAAAGGGTTTAAACACAGAAGAAAACATTCTTTGATGGTTATGATGGTGGGGAGGGAGGGTAAGTGTTACTTACTCACTAGATAGTAGACAAGTGTTAGGTGAAGGGAATACCAGCACACACTTCAAGGGAAGGCAGCACAACTTGACTAAACCAAAGCTAAGAAGGTTCCTAAATACAAACACTTTGAGGGACAGAGTAGCAGGGTTAGGGATCTGGGGACCATGCTTTCAGGGGACATCTAGGTCAATTGGCATGACAAAGCTTATTAAGAAAATGTTATGCATCCTACTTTGGTAAGTGGCATCTGGGGTCTTAAAAGCTTGCAAGCGGCCATCTAAGATGCATCAATTGGTCCCAACCACCTGGAGTAAAGGAGAATGAAGAACTCCAAAGACACAAGGAAAGTGTTAGCCCAAGAGATAGAAAGGGCCACATAAACCAGAGACTTCATCAGCCTGAGACCAGAAGAACTAGATGGTGCCTGGCTACCACCAGTGATCGCCCTGACAGAGAACACAACAGAGAGTCCCTGATGAAGCAGGAGACAGGTGGGGTACAGAACTCAAATTCTAGTAAGAAGGCCAGACTTAATGGTCTGACTGAGACTGGAGGAACCCCGGAAAGCATGGCCCCTGGATTGTCTGTCAGCCCAGAGCTAAAACAATTTCCAAGGCCAACTCTTCAGACAGGGATTGGACTGGACAATGGGACATAAAGTGATAAACTTGTGAGGAGTGTGCCTCTTAGCTGAAGTAGATACAAGAGACTAAACGGGCCTCTTCTTTCCCGAGGTGAGATGGGAAGGCAGAGAGGGTTAGGAGCTGTTTGAATGGACATGGGGAATCGGGTGGAAAGGAGGAGTGTGGTGTCACAGTAAGGGGAGAGCAATTAGGGTCACATAACAATGTATAAATTTTTGTATGGGAGACTAACTTGAAATGTAAACTTCATTTAAACTACAACAGTAAAACAGAAAACAACAAATATTGACAAGGGTGTGGAGAAATTGGAACCCTTATCCATTGCTGGTGAGAATGCAAAATAGTATAGCTGCTATGGAAAACAGCTTACTGGTTCCTCAAAAAACTAAAAATACTTTCTGGAGACATGAAGGGTGGGTGAACCCCTGAAACTATTTTAAATCTTTAAACTTTAAGCCAAAAACTTCCCCTAAAGTCTTCTTAAAACCAAGCTGTAGTTTAGCTTTACTGGTAAGAAAGTTCTGCCCTTAGCATTATGCTCTTTTAAGAACTATCTGTGTGAGATCAAATTGACAACAGCAACTCGAAAGTTTAAATAGGAACCTTAGGGGGCAGTGAGTTCATGTTAATGCAAAGGAGGGTGCACAACTCAATGTAGTCAGTGTCACTAAGTTGTACATGTAGAAACAGTTGAATTTGTATATGTTTTGCTGTATATATTCTCAACAACAAAATTAATAAATTTAGAAAAAAAACCTAAAAGTAGAAGCACCATATGACCCAGCAATTCCACTCCTAGTTGTATACCTAAGAGACTGGAAAGCAGCCTCTCAGACATATGCATGTACGCCACTGTTCATTGTAGCACTAGTCACAATAGTCAAAAGATGGAAACAACCTGAACGTCCATCATCAGATGGACTTTTTTTTTTTTTTACTTTTCAAATCTCTTTTAATTTAATTCAGCCCACATTTACTGCACACCCACCTGTCTGTGAAAGGCACAATAAGAGGTACTGTGGAATTGAAAGAATAGGCCTCACCCTCTAGTGGAGGAGAAGATGCAAACAACCATGGAATGTTAGAAAGACATGAAACATTTTGTATGGTTTTGTTCATAATTGCTGTCAAGTCCTCTCCAACTCAGAGCAAGCTTATGTACAACAGAAAAAAACATTGCTCAGTCCTGTACCATCCTCACAGTGTTTCAGCCCATTGTTGCAGCCACTGTGTCAATCCATATAATGGAGAGTTTCCTTCTTTTTGCTGACCCTCCACTTTACCAAACGTGATATTCTTTTGTAGTGGTTGGTCTTTCCTAATGATATGTCCAAGTATGCAAGATGAAGTCTCGTCATTCTCATTTCTAAGGAGCATTCTGGCTGTACTTCCTGTAAGACAGATTTGTTGGTTCTTCTGGCAGTCCATGGTATAGTCAGTATTCTTCACAAAACCACAATTCAAATGCGTCAGTTCTCCTTTCATCTTCCTTTTTCATTGTCCAGCCTTTACATGCATATGAGGTGATTGAAAATAACATGTCTTGGGTCAGTGCCACCTTAGTCCTCAAAGTGACACCTTTGCTTTTTAGGACCCTAAATGGTCTTTTGCAGCAGATTTTCCCAATGCAATACGCTGTTTGATTTCTTGACTGCTGCTTCCATGGGCATTGTTAATCCAAGTAGAATGAAATCCTTAACAACTTAAATTGCTTTGCCAATTATTATGATGCTGTACATTGATCCAGCTGTGAGGATTTTCATCTTCTTTATGACGAGGTGTAATGCATATTGAAGGCTGTAGTCTTTTACCTTCATCAGTTAAGTGCTTCAAGTCGTCTTCAGTTTCAGTAAGCAAGGTTGTGTCGTCTGCACGTCACTGGTGGCTAATGAGTCTTCCTCCAGTCTTGATGGCCACATTCTTCATAAAATCCAGCTCTCGGATTATTTGCTTAGCATACAGATTGAGTAAGTATGGTGAAAGGATACAACCCTGCTGCACACATTTTCCGATTTTAAACCACCTTCTTCTATTTGAACCACTGCCTCTTGATCCATGTACAGGTTCTGCATGAGCACAATTGAGTTTTCTGGAAGCCCCATTCTTCTTAACGTTGTCCATAGTTTGTTATGATCCACACAGTCAAATATCTTTCTGATATTCTCTGCTTTCTGCCAAGGTCCATCATCTGACATCAGCAATGATACCATCATTCCACATCTTCTTCTGAATCTGGCTTGAATTTCTGGCAGTTTCCTGTCAATGTATGGCTGCAGTTGTTTTTTAATTATCTTCAGCAAAATTTTGCTAGCATACGATATTGGTCGATAATTTCCGCATTCCATTTTATCACCTTTCTTTTGAATGGACAAATATGGATCTCTTCTATTCAGTTGGCCAAGTAGCTGTCTTCCAAATTGCTTGACATAGATGAGTAAGCATCTCCAGCCTTACACTGTTTGTTGAAGCATCTCAATTGGTATTCCATCAATTCCTGGAGCTACGTTTTTGGGGATGCCCTCAGTGCAAGTTGAACCTCACCTTCTTTCTTGATTATATGCTCCTTCCTGAAATGGTTGAACATCAACCAGTTCTTTTTGGTACACTGATTCTGTTTCCTTCTATCTTCTTTTGATGCTTCCTGCATCACTAAATTTCTTGCTCATAAAATCCTTGACATACATGGTGCATACATGGTACATGCATACAATGGAATATTACTCAACTCTAAAGAGAAATGAAGTTCTGATACATGCTACAACATGGATGTACCTTGAAAATACTATGCTGAGTGAAGTAAGTTAGTCACAAAAGGATAGATATTGTATGATCTCACTTATATGAAATAACTAAAATAGGCAAATGTATAGAGACCAGAGTTTATTAATGATAACCAGGGGTGGGAGGGAACGGAAAAGGGGGAGTTGTTTGGGAAGCATTGATTTTCTGTTTATGGTAATGGAAAGTTTAGCAATAATTACTGTGAATGTAAATGATATCACATGGTGATAGCAACCTGGTGAATGTAATTAATATCACTAAATGGTATACGTGAAAAATGTTGAATGGGCAAATGTCATGTTATATATATTTTTACAAGAAGCCTGGTTGGGACAAGCAGTTTGTGATCAGTTGTTAATCTAAAGGTTGGCGGTTTGAACCCACCCAGCAGCTCTGCAGAAAAAAGACCTGGCAAGCAGCTGTTGTAAAGATTACAGCCAAGAAAACCCTGTAGGGCAGTTCTACACTACGGTACATGGGGTCGCCATGAGTTGAGGCCCAACTCAACAGCAGCTAACAAGAACAACATATATGTTTCCAAAAATTAAAAAAAAAAATTGTTTTACTAATATCTGATATTACTATGTTTTGGAATGCCTGTAACACAAGCTTAAGCTGAACAGATATTGTTGTTTTTGTTCTTTTTAAGGACGGAAAGTGTAAATTTAAAATTCTTTTGAATCTCTATAGAAACAAAAATGTTCCGGTAAATCATAGAGACTTCTGGTATGCAACTTACACATTGTATAGTGTATCAGAAAAGACTGAAAACGAAGAAAAGATGAGTGACAACGCTAGTGCAAGTTCTGGTAGTGACCAGGGACTTTCCAGCAGGCAGCACACCATGGTGTCCTTCCTCAAACCTGTCCTAAAGCAGATCATAATGGCTGGCAAATCGATGCAGCTGCTCAAGAACCTACAGTGTGTGGAGAGTGCCAGGTGCCAGGCAGCGGCAAGAGGTAACATGCCCCTTCTTCGTGTATCTAACCTCATCGTCTTGATGGCTACTCTCTGTTTACTCCTGTCGTCCTGAGATATGTCATTACTTTATGGTTTTGAAATTATCAAAGCTTATTATTTTAATGGAAATCATCACTATGATCAAATTAATAGATGCTGCTGCTTTGATTGAAAAAAGATTTGTTTTCATTGGAAACTCTTTGAAGGCAGTAATAATGTTTTACACATATTTTACTTATTCTTGATTTCCTAAATTTGATTCTTTAAAAAATAATTCTCTGGCATTTCTTATTGTAGTCCAGGATTTAGCTCTTGAGGACCATTAACTCTGACAGATATGAATTTAGTGATGAGTAGTTCAGACTTGATCATAGATTTTGAGAAAATCTTCGTATATTCTCTGGTATTTGTTGATGTAATTTAAGCAATACATTTAAAGTATTTTTTAAAGTTTTTGATTAAAAGGTTTGAATTGCATAGATGTAACTTTAGTTGTTTTGTTTGTAAATCATTTTAATGTTATACTAATTATTTTGCTTTATTAGATCTACTTTAAATAAGGAATATTTCCCTTTTTACTGAATACTAAAATGGCCTTTCCAGGGCCACTGTGAGAAGCGTTTTTTCCCAGTGAAATTGATGACTCCTACTAGTGTTACAGTGAGGCAGTTAATTAATGACTCTTACTAGTGTCACAGTGAGGCAGTTAATTGACGACTCCTACTAGTGTCACAGTGAGGCAGTTAATTGACGACTCCTACTAGTGTCACGGTGAGGCGGTTAATTGACGACTCCTGCTAGTGTCACGGTGAGGCGGTTAATTGACGACTCCTGCTAGTGTCACGGTGAGGCGGTTAATTGACGACTCCTACTAGTGTCACGCTGAGGCGGTTAATTGACGACTCCTCCTAGTGTCACGCTGAGGCGGTTAATTGACGACTCCT